TCCCAACTCTGCTCTGGCCCCACCCCCCAGCAGCAGCTCCACAACCAGCCCCCATCCCAGTCTCTAGCTGTGGCTCTGTTACCAGCCCGGGCTCTGGTGCGGAGTGCAGACAGGGTATGAAAAGTTTGGGACCCACTGCTTTAGGGTATCTTCCCTTCCCGCCCATGGGAGCAGGAGGGGTGCATCTGAGGCCTCTCCTAGGGACTGCAAGGGGACATATTCTGTTCTCAATGTCAGTGGCAAAGCCAGAGGTTGGGACCAAGTACTTAGGGCTCCCAGGTGTGTGATCCAGCCCTCCCGTATCCACGCCCAGTCTGTATGTACCTGGATGAAGTTACTCTCGAACATTGCGACAGACTGAAAGAGAGGGTATTCCCCTTTAGCCAGGTATCGCTGAAGGTCTTCCGGGTGAGGGATCCAGGCCATAGAAGAGACCTCGCTCTCCGACTGGCTGACGGTGGAGTTCATCCACACTGCGATGGCTGCAAACAAAACCTGCCAGTTTCAAGACCGGCATCAGGAACCCGGAGACCATGTGACAGAAAGAACCAATGGCTGGAGGTGTTTCTAGCTCACCTTGTGGCAGGCTCTGTCTCCAGCTCCAGAACCCCCCCCCCCCCCGCACACACACAGACGTGCATACAAATGTGCCAACACCTAGGCAAAGAATCAAACCCTTTCTTACTCCCCCATGCATCTCACTCCTGGGTCACCGTGACAGTCCTCGGAGGTCTATTGGAAGCAATCAGTCATCAGCTTGCTAAATGGAGATGGCCCTGGGTCTAGATGTATAAATTCAACCATCTCTAGAGCTCTGGACAGGTGTCTTAGCTCTGACAGGGTGTGCCAGGAATTATGACAGTACTCCAAGGCCATATTTTGTTCCAATATTCTCAAGTCTATAATATAAAGTATTTTATACAAAAAATCAGCATAGCAAACTGTGCAGCCTAACTCTTATGTGCTCTGTGCACTACTCTTCTGTTTGCAAGCAGAGAGTGCTGTGTAAAGGAATAGACCTACATGCAATCTAAGGCTAAGTCTACACTAGACCTGGCATAATTCAAATTATGGCAACTGTGTTATTTATGAAGGAACAAAACAAAATGTTGTCACCAAAAACTGCCTTTTGGCACAATGCAAATGTGACTTTTGTCAGGGGAAAAACACCTAGTTTTGGTGACAAAAAACTTCCACCCCCTGTGAGAGACTTTTGTCTTTTCCCATCCCTTTATTGTTGACAAAAAGCTACAGTGGACTCTGATGTTTGTTTTGTTGAGAGACCTGGCTTTTCCAGTATCCCACAATGCCTGCCCTCATGGCTCTGTTCAGTGTTTTGTGATCTCTGCTGCCCTGCAGGCGTGTGCCCCTCCCTTTTCAAAACACTAGGAAGTATCTCACAGCTGAGTAAGCTGCTCCGTTTGGGGAACAAAGAGCAAATCATTGGAATACTCCAGTTCTGCCCTGCTAGAAGCACAGCAGCAGGTAGGTTTTGACATGCCTTAGCACAGATAGCTCACAGAGCAACAAGGATCACCAAAGAAGTGCAGGGATCAGTTCTGCCTTCCCACACTATTGCCCTGTGGGCTGCTTACCCACACTGCTTTGCTCTATCTGTCAACAGGGGAGCTAGTGCTGTGGCCATGAAATGTTGCCAATGGGAGGCAGAAAAAACACTTTGACCTGTTTTTACTTTTGCTGACTTTTGCATGTCGACAGCACTTCTGTTGCCAAACCTTTCCATGTAGACATAACCTAAGGCATGGCTTAAGTAAATGGTGTGCTCCGGGGTATGTAGCGTATCTAGGCTCTCTACATGCCCAAGCAGTCTCCAGTGTCTATACTACTATTTTTAGCAAGGTCACATCCTAGTGCAGCCATGGCCAACCCGAGGCTCACGAGCTGCATGCGGCTGTTCCCCCCTCCCTGGGTGCAGCTCATGAAGCCCCCCGTGTGGTTCGTAAGCTGCCCTCATACCCCCAAAAATGGCCCTCTCCTCCCAGCTCCCTGTGCTGACCTGGGCAGGGGAGCCGTCTGGCGCGGCCATGAAAGCTGCAGAATCCAAGATGGTGGAAGGTGGCATGCGCCTGCTGTGGCCAAAAAGCCTCAAAACACATTTAAATGAGTTTTCTTACAGGGGCAGAGGTGTTTGGTTTTTTTTTGTTTTTGTTTTTTCTTGACTAAACGTCAAGGGACAGAGCTTTTTTTTTTCCCCTCGACAACTTTGCTCTGGCTCTTCATGCTGGATCCACGCCTATCTTTGCTCTTCGACTGGATGGGTTGGCCACCCCCATCCTAGTGGTTCCCCTTTGCCAGAGCCTTTCACTGCCGTGTACAACTAGACTTGCCCAAGAGGTAGCCCTTGCCTGTGACATTCAGGGAATTGTATATAGTTCTGTCTCCTGCTGACTTTAGTTGTAACATTACGTATGCATAGTCTGTGACCAGGGCTCCAGGAAAGCTGAGTGCTTGGGCGGTCACCCAGGAAAGACTGAAATGCCACCCAGCTGATTAGCAGAGCACCCACCGCCAGGCGCATGTGTTTCTACATGTGGTGCACATCCATACATGTCTCAGTGCACAGAACAAAATTTATTCTGCTCATGGAAGGAAAACAATTAGAGGGAACATTGGCTGTGACATTCCATACTTTGCCCATTACATTAGCATGAATTATCTAAACTAAATGTTGTAATTTACACAGAGCCCTGCTAATAACTTAGGGGAATAGATACAGGGATGGGGAGTCTAGGGAAAGGAGAAACTATCTGGGCCCAGCTCTGGTCTGTAAAGGATTTTGCACCACGGTCAGCATGAGAAACTGTCCAGCATTTGGAGGGCAGCAGAGGAGTCCTCTACACTCCAGTGACCCTTTCTGATAGCTGGATGTACCAGCTGGAAGGCAGTTAGGTCAGTCTCCTGGTCATTATGATGGCAAAAGGCTTGAAGACAAAATTTGAAACTGGAGTCAGGTGGAGAACTAAGGGAAGCTCTCCCTGATGGCAGCTTTATAGGAGAATGAGGAGTGAAGAGCCCTAGATAGCTGAAAAGGGCTGGCCCCTGCTTGGCAGCTGAGAAGAGAGCAGACCTCCCTCTGGAGGCATGTCTACATGGCGCAGTAAGCCCGGGCGCAGATGCAGCTTTGAGCCCAAACCTCCCTTTTGTCCACATACAAATCAGCGTGTCTCGGGTCAGCAAGCACTCAGTCTCTGGGTGCCAGGACCCCATGAGAGGGATGGGAGAGACCTTGAATCCTGCTCTGGCTTGGGCTCAAGCCCTCTCATTTTGCAATGTGGACACCGCTCCAGGCACAGACCCACGACAGGTCTGCGCAGGGCAGCATGGAGACGTGTACAGCGGAGAGACCCAGGTCTGGCAACTGGAAGTCCAGATTTACCAAGCAGTGTGGACACTCAAGCAGGGGCTTGGAAACACCGAGTCCACAAAGGTGGGCTGTGCAGATCCAGATTCCCAATGCAGTGGAGACGCACCTGGGCAGGCAGAAGAGGACCTGCTGAATTTCCGCTCTTTGTGTGGAAGGAGCTAGCAGAACGTGGGACAATTGGATGAGAGAGGACTGGGGTGACTCCTGGCAAGATTGCCCTGTTACAACACACGAGGAACGCTGTGTCACAATACAACCAGATGAGGTGGAGAAGACAGCCTACGTGGAGCCTGTTGATTTAATGCGGGAGCGTCTGGATGTGTCACTTACCTGGAAGCTACAAGTCCAAGCTGATTCTAAGAGACCTTCTCTCCTTTATAATTTCCTCCCGATTGGCAGGATGGTTCCTGCTCTCTTTCCCAAGCCACAGCACCCTGTCCTACATCGGTAGGTGAATGTCCGGGTGGTGCCCTCAGAAACGCCTGGGAAACAGGTGGGATGCCAGCTCCCGTAACCATCGACATGATGCGTCCATTGTGATGTCATCAGAGGCCATCTGTGTTCTTCCTGTGGTTGAATAAAACCTGTCCACAGTTGCTTTCTCTCATGACCCCGTCCCACCCTCTTAAAGAGGTGTGGCCAATGATAGCCTGCCGAAGGCCATGGGCTTTTGTAAACACCGTGTGTGTGTGTATTTGTGTGTGCGCGTGCGCGCATGCAAAGAAAGCCACAAAGCTCCCCACTTGCTCTCTGATTGAAAGTGACAAGAGGGTTACAGGTATATTTTTGCAAGAGAGAAAGGGTTTCATTTGTTGCTTTTATTTTTTACTCTATTGATTTAGGACGGGTTTTTTGTTTGTTTGTTTTGTTTTACAAATCCTTGCCTTGCAAATATCAGAAACAAAACAATCCATTCCAACAGGTATACCTAGACTTTAGTAAGGCATTTGATATGGTCTCACATTATATTCTTATCAAGAAATGAGGCAATTACAACTTCCATGGGGCTACTATAAGGTGGGTGCATAACTGGCTGGATAACCATTCCCAGAGAGTAGTTATTAACGGTTCACAATCCTTCTGGAAAGAAGTAACAAGTGGGGTTCCGCAGGGGTCTGTTTTGGGACCGGTTCTGTTCAATACCTTCATCAACAATTTAGATATTGGCATACAGAGTACGCTTATTAAGTTTGCAGATGATACCAAGCTTAGAGGGTTTGCAACTACTTTGGAGGATAGGGTCATAATTCAAAATGATCTGGACAAATTGGAGAAATGGCCTGAGGTAAATAGGATGAAGTTTAATAAGAACAAATGCAAAGTGCTCCACTTAGGAAGGAACAATCAGTTTCACACATACAGAATGGGAAGCGACTGTCTAGGAAGGAGTACGGCAGAAAGGGATCTAGGGGTTATAGTGGACCACAAGTTGAATATGAGTCAGCAGTGTGATGCTGTTGCAAAAAAAGCAAACATGATTCTAGGATGTATTAACAGGTGTGTTGTGAGTAAGACACGAGAAGTCATTCTTCCGCTCTACTCTGCGCTACTTAGGCCTCAGCTGGAGTATTGTGTCCAGTTCTGGGCACCACATTTCAAGAAGGATGTGGAGAAATTGGAGAGGGTCCAGAGAAGAGCAACGAGAATGATTAAAGGTCTAGAGAATATAACCTGAAGGAAGACTGAAAGAATTGGGTTTGTTTTGTTTAGAAAAGAGAAGATTGAGGGGGGACGTGATAGCAGTTTTCAGGTATCTAAAAGGGTGTCATGAGGAGGAGGGAGAAAACTTGTTCATCTTGGCCTCTGAGGATAGAACAAGAAGCAATGGGCTTAAACTGCAGCAAGGGAGGTTTAGGTTGGACATTAGGAAAAAGTTCCTAACTGTCAGGGTAGTCAAACACTGCAATAAATTGCCCAGGGAGGTTGTGGAATCCCCATCTCTGGAGATATTCAAGAGTAGGTTAGATAAATGTCTATCAGGGATGGTCTAGACAGTATTTGGTCCTGCCATGAGGGCAGGGGACTGGACTCGATGACCCCTCGAGGTCCCTTCCAGTCCTAGTATTCTATTACAGTTCCAGGAGAGGCCGGGGGGGAGGGAGAGAGCCCCTTCCAGCACCCACTCTGGGAGGGGCCAGGAGGGTGTTCCCCATAGCCCTCCATGCCTCCAGCCTCTGCCCTGAGCCCCACATATCCCCAAGGCCCTGCCCTGACTCCTGCACCCCCCACACCACCAGCCTCCTTCTCTAAAGAACCCGGGCGACGCCAGGTAGATCTTCTAGTAGAGTGTTTCTCAACCAGTGGTACGTGTACTCTTGGAGTACCCAAGAGATGTCTGTGGGGGGGGGAGTACATCAACACAACTGAAAATTGGAGAAAACTGATTTTGTTTTAAGTTTTACAGAGTTTTATTATTTTTGTACTTTTTACACCCAAAAATTTCATCGCCTGCCTGGCTATGATTAAGTTTGCTTAAACAAATGTGTTGCAATGGTAGAAAAAAATGTTGTGTGTCTGCAAACTGTAGGTACTGAGGGTACTTATAATATATATATCTTAGGGTACGTCTAGACTACAGGCTTCTGTCGACAAAGAGTGAAGTTTTGTCGACAGATACTGTCGACAAAACTTCTGTCGACAAAGAGTGTCTAGACTACATTGAGTTCTGTCGACAAAGCAAGCCGCTTTGTCGACATGGTAGTGTGGACGCAAAGGACAGTTTACATGCAATAACACCTTCTGTCGACAGAGTTTCTGTAGACAGAAGGCGTTATGCCTCGTAAAATGAGGTTTACCAGCGTCGACAAAACTGCTGAGTTCTGTCGACGTTATGTCGACAGAACTCAGCGGTAGTGTGGACGCAGGTATAGTCTAAAAGTCCACTTTTGTCGACAAAACCCTGTAGTCTAGACACACCCTTATATAGTTAATATATAGATATTAAAGGAGTACTTTATAAAAAAGGTTGAGAAACACTGTTCTAGTAAATAGTTTACATTGTCCTGACACACCTAAGTGCAGATGTTATTTCAGAATTACCAATTCTAAGCAACATATTGCCTATCAACCATATATAGGGACAACATCCTGGCCCCCAATGATTTAAAGCCAGTCTTGACTTGCTGTGTATTGCATCCATTCATATTAACTTGGTTGTGGGGGAAGGAGAATGTTTCCTGGTAGGGGAAGTGTCTCAGGAGAACAGAAATAAAGGGAAGCTAGAGGCTGTAAGTTATTATCCTCTATGTATGTCCTTCTTGACTAGCCTATCAGAGCATGCTACCGAAGCATCCAGATGGTTTCAGCGGCGAGGAGTCCTGTGGCACCTTATAGACTAACTGAAGTGTAGGAGCATAAGCTTTCGTGGGCAAAGACCCACTTCGTCAGATGCATGTAGTGGAAATTTCCAGAGGCAGGTATAAATATGCAGGCCAGGATCAGGCTGGAGATGATGAGGTGGATCCAATCAAGGAGGATGAGGCCCACTTCTAGTAGCTGATCTGGAGGTGTGAATACCAAGAGAGCAGAAGCTGCTTTTGTAGTTAGCAAGCCATTCACAGTCTTTGTTTAATCCAGAGCTGATTGTGTCAAACTTGAAGATGAACTGTAGCTCAGCAGAATAGCGATAGAAATGTAGCCGTGTTAGTCTGGGGTAGTTGAAGCAAAATGCAGGACAATGTAGCACGTTAAAGACTAACAAGATGGTTTATTAGATGATGAGCTTTCGTGGGCCAGACCCACTTCCTCTTTGAAGTCTGGTCCTGAAGTTTTTTTGCTGCAGGATGCTGACGAAGTGGGTCTTTGCCCACGAAAGCTTATGCTCCTACTCTTCAGTTAGTCTATAAGGTGCCACAGGACTCCTCGCCGCTTTTGCAGATTCAGACTAACACGGCTACCCCTCTATACAGATGGTTTCAGTATTTCTAATGTGTTGTTTCCCGGGGCGAGGTGCACTGTTACCTGTGACCATTTTGCTCTGACTGTCTCTGTCCCCAGTTCTCACAACATTTGTCAGGTCCTCCACAATACGCCAGGCTATGGGTGATCCGGCTGGCTGCAGAACAATAGCAGGCGCTTGTTTTATTTAAGGGCAGTGTGAAGGCAAGCTGAGGAGTTGGCCAGAGTAATAAATCTTCATCTCTACATTTCCTGGGTGTCTGACGCAGGAGAGTGGGGTTTTAAAAAAAACAACGCCTACGTTCAAGGAAAGCAACAAGCACTGCTCTGCGCCTGCCGCCTTATCTGCATTGTCACAGAGATTGTTTGTCTACAGCCGCGGTTCTCAAACTGTGCGTTGGGACCCCAAAGTGGGTCATGACCCCGCGTTTGGTGGAGCCACCAGATTTGACTTAGTCCTTCTGAGGCCTGGTAGGCAAGCTGAAGCCTGAGCCCCACCACCCAGGGCCAAAGCCGTGAGGAGTGGGGCTCAGCTACCAGGCCCGGGGTGGCTGGGGTGGCTTCCCCACTTTCACCAGCGAGGCTCCAGCTTTGGCTTTGGTCTCCTACCAAGGGCAAAGGGGCTCGGGCAGGCTCAGGTGCCATTCCCCCCTTCTGGGGTCCCGTCGTTATTTTTCTAGTCAGAAGGGGGCTGCTCGTTTGAGGACCCCTGGCGTGGAGCTTCTCTTGGCTTTTCAAACGGGCATACCAAGGTGCTGGGGAATGCTAGGCGTTTTGGGGCTGGGGACTTCCCCTTCATTTCTTGTGACGCCCTGCTGTGCAGGGTGGGGGCCATGCTAGGGAATGTCTCCTCCAATCCTTTAGGCAGGGAGCCCATCTTCTGCTGGCCACAAGGGCTGCACAGGAGTTGGGCTGTTCTCCAGCAACCGTGTCATCCTCCTGGCGAAATTAATGACGCTTGCAGGGGTCCCCCAATCTCTGCGTGCTTTCATGGGGGTGGGGGTGTGCTTGCCTTCCAACCACCATCCCAGAGTCCCTGCGGGCCCATCCTCTGCCTTAGGAGCGTGGGTGAGGAGGCTGGCTTTTTTTACAAGGCTTGAAGCAGCTCAGCAGTGCAGGAGAAGAGGAAGGGGAGGGAAAAGCTGGAGTTCCCCTCGCATCCGCAGCTGGCGAGCCCCTTGGCTTGCAGCAGCTGGAAGCAGGGAGACATGGTCTGTATTTTACAGAGGGGACTGACTTTCCCAGAGTCGCTTAGGGGAATTCTTGGTGGCAGAGCCGGGACCTGACTCTATAATCCCACGACCAGCCTTCCTTCTCCTTAGAAAACAAGGGTGCCAGGAGGTGGCCTTTCCGGGGGGAAAAATGCCCTGCCAAGAGAGCTGAGCACCGTGGGCCATTAACTTATAAGAAAGCCTGTAAATCAAGACGGTTATTACTGTTCAGATAGAATATGATTTTATTAGCGACGATCTTTCATGCTCTAGGCACTTAAAGCAATGAGGTACCTGCTGTGCCGTGACTTACAGGTAAATGCAGACCTCCTGCACTCCGCAGTTACTCACGTGCAGCGCTGGGTGTTAGCAGCTGGTTTACAGAGGGTACGTCTACACTACAGCGCTAGTTCGAACTAACTTAGTTCGAATTAGTTAATTCGAACTAAGCTAGTTCGAACTAACGCATC